TGAATAAGTTCACCAAGTTAACTTCCACAGAGTGTTACTTTGTTACAAAGCACAAGTATTACGTTTTATTTATTGCTCCATTTTTATTATTTTAATATTCTTATAGGGATCTTCTGTCCCTAAACTTGTGTGTGTTGTTAGATTCCCCAGAGTTAGCCAAGTCAGAAAAAACATATTGTAACCAGATGTTTTAGCATAAAGCGATGGAAGGGAAGGCTTGCATTCACCTACATAAAAACACTACAATGTATGTGAATTCACTTACATTGTTTTATGCTAAACTAAGAAAACCAACTGCTGCCAGATCATATTGGGCCGGTTATAAAATGCTTTTTCTGACTTGTCTAACTCTGGGGAATCTTAACAAGACACAGTTTTACTGAGTGGTGGAATATTCCTTTAAGTTAAAATGTAATTGTGGAAACCACCGTTTATAAGAAAAACTTGAATGTTAGATTTATGCTGCGACTGAGTTTGTGTGTTCTGTTGTTTTTGAGGTCTGCTAAATAAATCTTATTTGCATTACTTGGAAACCCGAGTGAGTTATGGAGACAGTTCTTTGGTGTGTAAGAGAGAAATAAGTTTGCATCAAAAAGGCAGAAAATGAAGGGTTTAAGCTTAAGAACATTTTTCTTTCTTTTTTTTTTGTGAGGGAGATCTATCGGCCATTATACGGGCTATCAGCCTTTGTTAAAAGTTTTATGTCGGAATCGGTCCCAAAAAAAAGCATATCGGTCGGGCCCTAGTCCAAACTCATTCTAGACAATAAACACAATCCCAGAATGATCTTTTACATACACGCCATGTATGTAATGCCATACACGTTGTTACTGTGTAAAGGGGCAGCTGTTAAGGGCAGACAATAGGATCTTAATAACGCTACACCACCATAAACAACATTTTAAACCGTACATCCAATTCAGTTCAGAAAACCCCCTCAAATGCTCTCTGTGAGGAGTTTGCAGCCCACTTCAGAGGGAAGGTAGACACCATCAGACGGAATATTTTCCCCTCCATAATTAATAAGGTTTTAGATAGGGTCAAACTCTGGTTACCGGTGATGGTTGTACCCCATGTGCAGCAGTACCGGGACCAGAGTGAATAGGGTGTGTATGGGGAGCATGAGTGAGTGTCCGGCGTGCATTTTTGTAAGTCTTGGGTTGTATGTGCATGTGTGAGCATGAGGGAGGGAGTGTGTGACTGTGTTTGTGTATGACTGTATATGTCAGGTGGGGCCTTTGGGTCCTCCCCTCTCCTGGAACTTCTCTTGATGATATAGATCTTTGTCCCCCCTCCCCCTGCCACACCTGGTGTGGGGGCTTGTGTGAGGGACCACAGATCCGCCCCCCAAAAATGCGCAGGAGACGGGGGGAGCTCCAAGTCCCAGAGATCCAGGCGTTGCCCCAGAATGCAGGAACCCCAAGGAGACTGCAACCAGAAAGGCCCCCGCCCCCCTCGAGAGGCACAGAGGATCGCCCCGGGGGGCCACAACCAGCATCCGGCAGAGTCCCTGGAGATATCAGCGGCAAGCCCACAGGCCCACCCGCAGCCTCCCACCCCCTAGCCGGCCGAGCCCGGGACCCAGCGACCCGGGACCCAGGGGTGACCACCCCCGCCGGGGACCCAGCAGAGCCCAGGGACCCAGTCCCCACCAGGCAGCCACCGGGATTGATCAGGCAGATGCCAGAATCTTAAACCCCCAGACCCGTTTGCCACGAACACTCAGGCAGACCATGGCACAAGCCCCCACACCAGGTGTGGCTGGGGGAGGGGGGACAAAGATCTATATCATCAAGAGAAGTTCCAGGAGAGGGGAGGACCCAAAGGCCCCACCTGACATATACAGTCATACACAAACACAGTCTTTTAACTCGTTTAAAACAGATCGGCCTCTCTGGTGCTGTACATAGATGGTTCACATCCTACCTCACAGACAGGACTGGTGAGTTTGGATACCTGTTCCTCTAGTGGTGTGCCCCAGGGTTCAATTTTAGGCCCAGTGCTCTTTAACCTTTATATGCTCCCTCTTGGCGGGGACATCAGACACGGGGTCAACTTTCACAGTTATGCTGATGATAGACAATTGTACATCCCTGTGTCTCCTGATGACTCTCGGCCAATGGATGCACTTTTTAACTGTATTTTAGACATCAAATCCTAGATGGCAGAGAACTTTCTCCAGCTCAACCAGGACGAAACTGAAGTTCTAGTCATCGGTCCTGAGGCCCAGAGAGAGAAGCTTTTACCGAAATTACAATCTCTGTCTTTTAATCCATCTGAACAAGTGAAGAACCTGGGTGTGATTTTTGACTCTGAACTGACTTTTATTCCACACATTAAAAACATCACAAAAATAGGTTTTTATCATCTAAAGAACATCGCCAGAGTCCGCCCCATTCTCTCTCGGGCCAATACGGAGATGCTGATGCATGCTTTTATCACCAGTAGGATAGATTACTGCAATGCCCTGCTTTCTGGTCTTCCCAAAAAGAGCATCTCAGGCTTACAACTTCTACAAAATTTGGCAGCACGTGTCCTGATGAAGACCAGGAGGCGGGAGCACATTACAACAGCTTTAGAATCATTGCATTGGCTCCCCGTATGTTTCAGGATCCATTTTAATGTTCTTCTAATGGTTTTTAAGTGTCTTAACGGTCTTGGGCCTTCTTATCTCTCAGAATTGCTTTTACCATATGAACCCTCACATCCTCTGCGCTTTTCTGACAGGCATCTCCTGGTTATCCCTAAAGACAGGACACACACTCAGGGCGAGACGTCCTTCCAGTGTTATGGCCCTCGCCTCTGGAACGATCTGCCGGAGAACCTAAGGACCTCAAGACCCACCTATTTAGGTTAGCTTTTATCTAATTATTTATTATAGTTTATTACTCATTGTACATGATTATATTTTAATATTGTTTCATCATTTAATTATATTAATATTTTACTGTCCTCATGATTTTATTTTCTTCCTTTTATCATTTATATCTCTTTTATTTTATATTTTTACTCATTTTAATCCAGTGTTTCCTCTCTGGGGGCCCTCTGCCCCAGGGGCGGTGGTCGACTGTTGCTGCATGGGGGCTCTACAGGCAGTGCTTGCCAGTGGAGATGTGGGTCTATGTCCTGCCTCCTCTGGGTGCCCTGATTTGGTAGCTGTGGTTGACCTGATGCTGCCGAGGCAGATGGCTCCTCTGATGGTGTTTCGTTGGCTTACTTTACTTGTCTCATCTGAACTCAGCAAAATATAAAAATATAATTTTTACTGATGTTATTGTGTGTGTGTGTGTGTGTGTGTGTGTGTGTGTGTGTGTGTGTGTGTGTGTGTGTGTGTGTGTGTGTGTGTGTGTGTGTGTGTGTGTGTGTGTGTGTGTGTTAATGCTTTTAAACTGGTATGGAAATTCAGGATCATTTGAATTCTGTAAAGCACTTTGAGTCAAAATTTGCTTGAAAAGCGCTTCATAAATAAAGTCTGACTGTTTGATTGGAGACTCCAGGACTGTCTTAGAGAGAGGGTGAAGTTCTGGGAGAGGCTCAGGTTAGAGTTACTGCTTCCCCAAGTTGAGAGGAGCCACCTGAGGCAATTTGGGCTTTTGGTCAGGAGGAGGACTCCTGGAGGCCTCACAGAGGAGGTGTCTCAGGCATGTCCTGCTGATGGGAAGCCCATGGGTCGACCCAGGACACATTGGAGTGATTATATTTCCACGTCACCAGGGAATAGTGCTAGATGTTGTCTGGGAAATGGAGGTTTGGACCTTGCTGCTGGAGCTCCATGCCCCCGATCTGAACTCTGATAAGCGCACACGAATGGGTGGAAATTTGAAACTGTATCAAAGAAAAACAGAGAAGAAGAGATGAGGACAATGATTGAGGAGGGGCTGGAGAAGAAGAGGACAGCAAAGAAAAAGGTTTAATGAAGAGAAGATGAGATGGCGTTGATTAGATGAATTAGAAAGATGATAAAATGATCCTGGAACACAGAACATTTATAAAGATGTGAAATAAAAAGTTGCAGCAAGATTTGAGGAAAAATAAATAAATAAATAATAAAAGGGACGCACAATTAGAAAAGAAGCAAGAGGTTTGAGGAACTAAAACAGGAAGCATAAATATACAATCATCATCAAGTTCAGACGTGCCAGAAAAACTGGCACAAGCCATGAAAGTGTATTGGTCTTGGCAGTCTGTGGAGTAATTTCATGTCAACAAATCATTACAGGGAGAAAGAAGTCAGAAACTAGCTGAACGGCTGACGCCCGGTCACAGGTTAAGAACACAGCCTTGGATGATAAAGCAGAGGCAGGATTGTACTGAAAACAGGAAGTTCTGGCGCCAGACGAAGTTGTGGAATCTGCTCCTTTTAGACGTGCATTAGAAGTCAGCTAGAGATAAAGCCCAGTTCTGCATGAGTGGAGGAGCTCAGAGACAGCAGATTAAAGCCAGGTCTCTGGAAGCAGCAAAACGGAAAGGAAGACATTCTTCTAGAGCAGAACTAAGTAACGACTTCGCTGATTATCACTGACACTGAAGCAGAAGTGGCTTCCTGGAAGAAAAAGATAACTCCATCTTGTTGAAAACCATGTGACCGTTTTCTAGATGGGATGTTGAATCTGTGGTTCCCTGCTGATGTGATCCTTTCCCTCTAACACCTCTATATCTAACTTATGGGCCATTCCCATCGGTACCGGGTCGGCCCGGGCCGGGTAGCCCCAGTCGGCCCCAGCCTGGCCCGGTTGATTCCACACATCCCTGTCTTAAGCCCATGTGGGCTGATTCTACCCACCAATCAGAGGCTTGCTCTAATGGAAGGTGTGAATTTGCTGTCAGCAGTGGGCGTGTTGGCCCTGGTCGGCCTGAAGCAGACCCCCTCGAGAAGAGGGCTGAGAATGAGCCTTGGTTGGCCTGGAAAAATACCAGGCCACCCAGATATGTAAACAACCTACGCTACCCGGCCCGGGCCGACCCGGTACAGGTGGGAATGGCCCATTACATGCACTTACGTATAGAACTCCTCGGCTGGCGAAGTGGACGAATTGGACCACGACACATTGTGGTCAGACAACATGTAGCTGTGACAGTTGGCTGTGTTCCAGCTATTGGTGCAGGTGGTCCAGGGCAGGGTGGGCCGAAATGATGACAGCAGGTAGTAGAGTGCCCAGGCCATGATGGTGTTGTAGTAGAAGGCTATGTAGAGGGCGATGATGCAGATGGCAAAGCCAATTCCTGGAAGAGTTGGGATAAACATTGTTAATCCGTTTACATGCGTGTGACAGCTGTCAGTCACAGCCAGGCTGGTCATGATGAGACTTCAGTAGACTTTACAGGCCTAACCTGATTGGTTGACAAGGTGACATTTCTAAACAGTTTAATGTCCATATGGCCACACGTTGGACCATTTGGCATTTGGAATTGAAATGTGACAATTTCCATAACAGAGAGGCCCTACTTCTCATAAGATGTACAAGAAATTAAAAAACACATTGAGGAGAGAGTCAAAAAGGTTAAAGCAGCTTTCTTCTCTCTGTGCTTTTGTGTTCTTATCGTGCCGTTCTCCAAATGGCTACCAGGTACAGTCCCTCTGCTGCTCGGCTCGCTCCTTTACCTTTGAAGAAAGGACAGATGTGTTTCCAGATGGAGATGCAGCCGCTTCGGTGAAACTGACCCAGAGCCAGTTCCATGTAGAACAGAGGTACACCTCCAAACACTGCCATCAACAGGTAGGGCAGCAGGAAGGCGCCTGGAGTGGACGACACGGACATGGGCATGAAGTGAGACAGGGTTAATGCAGGAAGAAAAAAGAAATGTTCTTCGAAAGACAGAAATGACTAAAGAAGCAGGATGGAGGACACCCTTTAGTGCAGATGCTGATAAGGCATCTCTGTCTGAATATGAATTTACTTTTGTGTGCATGGACACAAAGGTGCGCCCATGCACGCCCGTGCCTCTGTGACATGGAGACAGAGATAAGAGTTGACTGAGCAGCTGGCTGGGAGACAGGTTATTAAGTTAGGAGACAGAGGCTGAGGCAGCTTTCATAAAACCTCACAATTAATATCATCGCCTCTATCAAGTGTCTCTACCTCGCTCTGAGACACACACACACACACACACACACACACACACACACACACACACACACACGGCTGCATGCTGCTATAAATACGGACCATCTAATAGTTCCTATTCCATTAATTCTTGTAGATTTCTATTCATTGTTTTTTTTTTTATTATGATGATGAGCTCTTGCCTGTTGTCCCTCCCTCTCTCTTCCCGTTGGTGTTGCATGTCTCTTTTCTCCCTGCCTGTCCACTCCAGTGCACGAGCAAATGCAGTCCAACATGCCACAAACCTACAGGAGGAATATCCCACGTCCCTCTTGCCGTACAGTAAAACTGCTCTTGCATGTTGTGGCACCCAGATCAGCCGGTCTGTGCATCAAGTGCCAGAACAGGTAAAATAACAGTTATACTAATAGCATTAATAATAATTTAACTGCAGAACATTTTGAATCAAAGCAGAAATGATTCGTAAAAAGTATTTACAGAGTAAACTGGTGTCTGTGCCCCCCTTGTATTTATACTATGGAGTCTCACCTCCCCCATTTTGGTAGCAGATGTAAGGGAAGCGCCAGACATTTCCCAGGTCCACAGCGTAGCCGATCACAGACAACAAGAAGTCCATCTTCTTGCTCCACGTCTCTCTGGGCCTCTCCAAGCTGGTCTGCTGAACCACTAGCGTTCTCAGACCTCCCAGCAGCGTTGCAGACCCGGTACCCCCTCCAGGCCCAGAAGCTGCACCAGTGGTTCCCAGTCCCTCCCTGGAGCTCTGAGGGGTGGATGTCGTGAAACCATTGGACACCTGCTGACCAGAACCTGAGGTCACGTTTTTGGGTTCTCTCTCTGTGAGACCATCAGCCAGCATCAGTCTACCATTTTCCTTCTGCATCTCCTGCTCCTCCCCCTTAACTTCCCCTCTGCTGTTGTCTTCCCCATTCTCTCCCTTGTCCATTGTCAGCATGCTCGTCATCATCTCGTCTTTTTTCTCCATTGGTCTCAGTTGATGTTGGCAAACGTGGTCAGGGCTTGTGAGGGGCTTTCACTGCAGATGAAGGAAACGCGGTGCTTCTGTGTGATAATGCGCCCATGTGAGGAGGGGTAGGACAGGGTGGGACAGTTCTGGGAAACGCTGAGTCTATCCTTTATGGACAGGTGACCAACAGAGAGGGAGCAGGAGCTAAAAGGAGAAGAAGAGGCCAGAATGAGGAGAGGTGAGTCAATAGGAGGGGAGGGGTGTAGAGGGTTGATAGGCTCACACAGGATGTGGTGAGAAACTTGGCTCTTCTCCACAAACAGACCCTCTGAGATATGGAAAACTGTAACACACACACACACACACACACACACACACACACACACACACACACACACACACACACACACACACACACGTTTGTATTTCTCCCATTTGTGACTCCACTATACTTAACCCATACCCTAACACTAACCAGTGTTGATCTATTCTTAACCCTAACCTTAACTAAACCTTAATTCACACCAAACCTCTAAAACCAGCGCGCACACACACACACACACACACACACACACGCGTACACACACACACACACACACACACTATAAGGAAATCATTACTTTGACATATTTGCATAAGTGAACGTTTGGGTGCAGTACGAGGACGCGGGTTAATCTGAGAAATGTGGACGTTAGAGGGATTGGGTCGATACGTGCTGGTTCACCTTGGCCTTTCCCTCCAGCTTTCACTGTGATCATGGACTAGAACCGAGTGGGACAGAGGACATGTTGTCCACTAATAGACATAACAGATTGCGTCTGATGAATTTTATCAATAAACGACTCTCTAGTTTATAACCAAACAAATATTTTTACAACCCAGACTTCACAAATTCTCTCAGATACAAAGAATGGTTTTGCTAAAACATCTAGCTACCATTACAACATTTCACAGCTGAAGAGGGCACTAGACTGACGTTTTAGATAGACTCCTTGTCATTCAACCAAGTTCACAAAAGTTGACACAAACAATAATAATGTTAATAGATGAATAAATGTGACAGTTACTGATAGATTTGTTGCTTTCATTCTTTAATATTTTGGTGAATTTAAATGACAGTAAATTCTAGCATGTGTATTGGTGAAATTCTGGCAATACGATATGTATCACGATATATTGCGATACATTCAGTCAGACGATATTAGCGATTTTTTTTCCATTGAAGTTATTGTAGGAAAGGTCAATGAGCTGATACTTAACATGTTTAACATGAGGTATCTGAACCATAACAGAGGGATTTACATTTCAGTGGTGCAAACAACCCACAGCACACTGCTGCCAACTAGTGGCCGGCGTTTGAATTACATTAAAGATTAGAAAATACAAAAACATTTGCTTGAAAATTCTTCCAAAAATTAGATACACGGCTTTTTAATATCGATATAATATTGCAGGAAAAAATAATGATATATTGTGATGTTTTCTTACATCCCTAGTGAATTGGATTTAATAATTACACCAAATATAGGATAAATAAATAATTAACAAGTAGCAAACATAGTTGCAAGAAGGAACACAAGTAAAGGGGCTTTAATCATAGTTGTGAACGTAAAGTGGCCAACGTGACCGAACCCTGCTGCAAGCAGACTCAGGAAGGACACCAGAACAGGAGAAGTCATCGTGTTAGAGAAGAACGAGAGTCCAGATGTTCGACCCAACAGTCACATCTGAGAGGCAGACCTCAGGGAATCGCCAGAAACAGAACATCTCTGATTCTTCTAAAAACTAAGATTTCTTTTAGATGAAAACCTTTTTTACTTCCTGAAATGTTTCCTAGCTTAAAACATCTAGAGACAAGCTGTTCTCTTTTAGCACTACACACACACACACACACACACACACACACACACACACACACACTCACACAGACACTTGTTAGACTCACAATGGAATTAAACGTTACACTTAAAAACAATTTAAACAAGGCTAAAAGAAGAAAAGCTGCAGAAATGATAAGTTTGATGTTTTTTTTTCATTTTCATAACTCAATAGTCATCAAGCTTTAATAATCTTATGAGGGATCTTAATCTACCCAGTTCAGTAAATCCTCTGCTAAATAATTTCACAGCCGAATGAAAGTTGAAAAACAAAAACTAAATGAGACGTTATTTCTAAACATTAAAGATGTTTAGAATCTGTTGTAACAGGACAGATGGTCGGCTCCCAAACGCACACAGAGAAACAGCAAATGTTTCATCTACAGAAACCATTCTAGAAACCGTTTTCCAGTCTGGAATGCATAAATTACCTTGAGATGGTGAGAGAGGAAACAAGTGCAAGAAGTTCTGCAGAAAACTTCTAGAATCCTGAGCAATGGTTGAAACTCGCTGGAGGGAACAGCGTGCGCTCGCTCACCAGGACGCTGCCTTTGCCCGTTCAGCTCCCAAACCCATGTCATCTCTCTCTCTCTCTCTCTCTCTCTCTCTCTCTCTCCCCCTTGTTGTCACTCTCTCACTACTGACTTACAACACACACACACATCTGCACAGAGACGTATGTGCAGATGGATGCACACGCTCAGACAGGGAGACAATAGGAAGTGTGCAGCAGGTACAGACCTGCTGATGATGAAATGGTGAAAACACAAACAGAAACAATGAAGCGTGGCACGGCTCTGACACACTACAGTCATGGCAGAGCTGACACTAACGCAAGCGGGGGAAGTCCAAACCTCACCCGGAGCTCTGTTTCTGTGCTGATCCCTGCTCACATTCACTCTTTATTCTATCCTTTCATTTCTGTTCGTCTTGGACGTCTGTTCTGATCTACTTTCATTTCCTCACCTGCTCTGGAGACACTGCTTCTGCTGCGTTGACCCTCGTGACCCGGAGGTCTGTGTTTTCTGCTCAGCCCACACTGCCTGCACGTGATGCCGACAGGCCAGTTATGTGTCATAATAAAGATTCTGTAGCAGATGGATGCACTAATCCATTCATAGCAGAACGATTCGTCAAAGTCTTCCTCAGAGAAGTGGGAGTTGATGTCCAAAACCATGATCCTGATAAAATATTTCATGCATGAGATCATTTCACCACAAAACAAAAGTCTGGCCCAAAGGAAAGAAACTCACTGCTGAAAAGTTGGAATCATTAGGAAAAACGTTTCTAGTTTTGATGTTTAGTCCAAATAATGAGGAAAGCCAAAAAGAGCTGAAGACATTCACTATTTCAGAGTTTAAATATTTTAAATACATTTTCATATTCAGGTTGATTTCATGAGTGTTTACCTGGAAAAGACTAAAAAGTCAGAGCTGTGGAGGATTAATAAGAACGCACTTAGCTGTCATTCTTCCTAAACAAAAAGTGCACCAATCAGCTGCATGTGTGCCGAGGGCTGGCGTGCTCCTTCCACGGACGCCCGTGACTGATAGTCAACACTGGTGCGTGAGAGCAGTGTTTCACGTTTGCAGCCGGGTTCTGATTTCCGGTCCAGATGCATAAATCTGAGCGGTCATGAGATTATTAATGAAGCAGCAAACTAGTGGGTACGGAAAGTGTTCAGAACCCCCCAATGTTTCCCTCTTTGTTATGCTGCAGCCATGTGCTAAAATCAATCAAATTTGTTTTTGTCCTCATTAATGTAAACACAGCACCCCATCATGACAGAAATATGTGCAGATTTATTAAAAAAAGAAAAACTGAAATGTCACATGGGCCCTTGCTCCGTATTTAGTAAATACAACGGACAGAGACAGAAATGAAAGAGAAAGGACGAGGAAGAGAGGATAAGAGGCGAGGGGGAAAAGTTCACCAGAAGAAGTAATGCAAGATCACGAGTCCACTTCTAGACCTGCAGAGATACAGAGAAAAGGAAAAGCCACACTTCAGACTGCAGCATTCACCCACAGGTGAGTCTAATGATTCATCTACGAGGTGTCCAGCACACAGGTGACTACAAAGGGCCGTTAAATAACCCGTCTTCACTTTAGCTACAGTATAGTGACTCATATGTGAAGCTTTGCTGATCTTCTTGTAGCCCTCAACTTTTTGTGCAAAGAAATGATTTCCTTCTCAGATTTTGTGAAATTGATCTTGTAGAGCCGTTGCTGCCAGCATGAAGAGGGAAGGGCTCTTCCTGTATAGTCACCTGTCTGGTGGACACCTCCTAATGACTCACCTGTGGTTGAATGCCTGTTAAAGTTACGGACAAAGCATTTGTGATGAGCACGAGCGTAAAACAAGTACAATTCTCTAATATCTGTGTCCGTGCTGAAGGAAAATCCTGATTGGGTAACTGACTGTCTTCACACTCTGTGATTGGCCAGTCACACAGAGCGCCGCCCCTGAAGCCATCTGAGTCTGAGGAGCTGCTGTGCCCCACGCTCGCACACACAGGCAGTAGCTGATCACTCTGTAGCACGTGCTGCTCCAGTAGTCCCTAGTTTTCTTCAGCTCGCCTCCTTCTCTGTTTTTAGAATGTTTGGTGTTACTTGCTTCGTGACATTTGACAAGACAGCGCAGAAAACGGCTCGGGTCGTGCGGGTCGCCACCTCCACGCCGGTCGTTTTTTGTTACCCGGCTAATGAAGATCTGAAATACAGCCAGGGCCGGCTCTACTCAATTTGGTGCCCCAGTCGAGATTATTCCTTGGCGCACCCCCACCGCACCAAATGCATGCACACAGACACACACCCTCCCCCTACACAAACACACACACAGCATTAAAGGACAGCAGCATCTAAATGATCTCAACAGTTCAACTGGAAAATTTGAACAACAGCAACAAGAACAAGCAGCTCTGCTCCTGCAGCAAAGGCAGCTATAGTATTGTAATGAAAAGCAGTGTGGGCTGCACGGGCAGTCTCTCGCCCTCCAGACAGAGCCTTACAATACCAGGAGCAGGCACCGGTTACCAAAAACACACTTTTATTAGCACAACTCCACGATACAACTCCTCCCTGTAAAACCCAGCTCCTACCCCTACCCACCCACCCACCCACCATTCCCTCCCCCATTCAGATGAAACCAGCCGATCAGCCATGGAACAGTCAGGTACTTAGCTGGCCCAGTCGGTGCGACCGCCTCCCCGGGGTCCGACTTCCCGAGGAATGACTTCCGAGGACGGCGGGTAGATCCTGCGGCTTGCGTCCGTCTGCCTGGTGTCTCTGCGGCAGATGTCGCTGTGGCCTCGACACCAAGCTACTCCTGCCCTAACTACCTAGCGCTGGAACACTACCCCGTACTCAGCTGTCTCCATCGCCGGACACCCTAACCGACTGCGAGCAATCCCACCCCCATCTCAGGGTGCCACAATGACAGGTTGACCACATACACCCCTTCCTGTAAAAACCTTTTATCACTTCCGGCCTCATCATGCCACACAAGCACCAGCTGGTCTTCTATCACCACGCCCCCCAAGGTCAAGTATCAACTTCTGCCCTTTAAAGTATAATCACATGGTTAGGATTGATGTTTAGAATAAAAAGTCCTTCAACAGTGACACGTGCTGGATCTCAGGTATGTTTTAGTCAGTTCTACCAGGAGAAGCTCCTCTCTCCAGCAGCAGCTGTCTCTGGCATCATGGCAGCATCCCTCAGGACCACCAGCATATCAGCGTCAACTTCCCTCAGTTTCTCTCCTCCTTTTGTACATTTAAAGTCTGATGTTAGCTGATGGAGCCTCTGTGGACTAGCTCCTCCTTCATCTTACCAGACAGGTAAGGTCAGTCAGCAGGTCTAAAGGAGCCTTGAGAAACTCGTCATGAACTTCAGGATGTGTTGACGGGTGTGGGTGTCCTCGGGCTGTTGAGTTGATGCTGCCTCTCCCTTCAGCTGGAAGCTAAACAGATATTAATCGTTCAGTGATGTCACACAGTGATGTAGGAATGACAGGACATCAGGTATTAAACACACCTGAGTAACAGTATAGTTCAGTAACAGGACTTCAGCTGTAACTTATTACAGAACTCACCTGCTCCAAACTGAGCTTCAGGTAAGGGGTGATGGTGCCGCTGATGATGATGATGGTCATGATGATGCTGCTGATGATGATGCAGCTGACTGACTTGTCGCTACATCCAAATATGTCACATCTGGCTGGTTGTACCCGTCTACTTCAATTTATAAAGAAAATAATTTAGTTTATTAATAAAGGTGCAATTTATCTGATTAATGATTCCTACATTTACTGTAATTACTAACAAGGCTGTACAGTTCATTAACAGCAATAATAACATCAGTGTGGCTGAGCGTAGCTGCTTCAGGGTGGTGTTGGTGTGGATGCTTCATCAGAAGATTCAGGGTGGTGTTGGTGTGGATGCTTCATGAGAAGAGCTTCAGGGTGGTGTTGGTGTGGATGCTTCATGAGAAGAGCTTCAGGGTGGTGTTGGTGTGGATGCTTCATCAGAAGAGCTTCAGGGTGGTGTTGGTGTGGATGCTTCATGAGAAGAGCTTCAGGGTGGTGTTGGTGTGGATGCTTCATGAGAAGAGCTTCAGGGTGGTGTTGGTGTGGATGCTTCATCAGAGGAGCTTAAGGGTGGTGCTGGTGTGGATGCTTCATCAGAAGAGCTTCAGGGTGGTGCTGGTGTGGATGCTTCATCAGAGGAGCTTCAGGGTGGTGTTGGTGTGGATGCTTCATGAGAAGAGCTTCAGGGTGGTGTTGGTGTGGATGCTTCATGAGAAGAGCTTCAGGGTGGTGTTGGTGTGGATGCTTCATCAGAGGAGCTTCAGGGTGGTGCTGGTGTGGATGCTTCATCAGAGGAGCTTCAGGGTGGTGCTGGTGTGGATGCTTCATCAGAAGAGCTTCAGGGTGGTGTTGGTGTGGATGCTTCATCAGAAGAGCTTCAGGGTGGTGTTGGTGTGGATGCTTCATCAGAAGAGCTTCAGGGTGGTGTTGGTGTGGATGCTTCATCAGAGGAGCTTCAGGGTGGTGCTGGTGTGGATGCTTCATCAGAAGCTTCAGGGTGGTGTTGGTGTGGATGCTTCATCAGAAGAGCTTCAGGGTGGTGCTGGTGTGGATGCTTCATCAGAAGATTCAGGGTGGTGTTGGTGTAGATGCTTCATGAGAAGAGCTTCAGGGTGATGTTGGTGTAGATGCTTCATCAGAAGATTCAGGGTGGTGTTGGTGTAGATGCTTCATGAGAAGAGCTTCAGGGTGATGTTGGTGTAGATGCTTCATCAGAAACTTCAGGGTGGTGTTGGTGTGGATGCTTCATCAGAAGCTTCAGGGTGGTGTTGGTGTGGATGCTTCATGAGAAGAGCTTCAGGGTGGTGTTGGTGTGGATGCTTCATCAGAAGCTTCAGGGTGGTGTTGGTGTGGATGCTTCATGAGAAGAGCTTCAGGGTGGTGTTGGTGTGGATGCTTCATCAGAAGAGCTTCAGGGTGGTGCTGGTGTGGATGCTTCATGAGAAGAGCTTCAGGGTGGTGTTGGTGTGGATGCTTCATCAGAAGAGCTTCAGGG